ATTCATATTGTAAACATTCTTTTTTTTTTAAGTTTTATTTTGAGAGAGGGAGAGCACATGAGTGGGGGTGGGGAAGGCTGAGAGAGAGAGAAAGAGAGAGAGAGAGAATCCCAAGCAGGCTCTGTGCTATTCATGCAGAGCCTGGCGTGAGGCTTGATCCTGTGAACCGTGAGATCATGACCTGAGCCCAGATCAAAAGTCAGACGCTTAGCCAACTGAGCCACCCAGGTGCCCCTGTTTTAATTTGTAATGTGGAAAATATAAATATATATAACCCACATACTCAAAATGTTAGGAGTCTTCAGTAACTTACATTGTAAAGGTGCCCTAAGACTAAAAAGTTGGAGACCTGTGTGTATACTTTTTCTCCTCACTGTCCCACCGTGATTGCTGCACCTCCTGGCATGCTATCTTTATTCCAGGGTGACTGAGGAAAGGAGGAATGCTGGAGAAAGGAGCAATGGCTATATCAGGAAAGCAAAATGTTCTCCCAGAAAACCTCAAGTTTAATGTCTAGGGAGAACTTTCTTACATATTTAGCCTTAACTGCAAAAGAGAGTGAGAGAGTGAGAAAGTGAGAGCTTTGGGTTGGGTCCATTCCTGCTCGGAACAAATTTGTTCTGTTGGCAGGGATGAGTATTGGGTAGATACATAGTTATCTGTTACACAGAGTGTTTTTGTTTTGTTTTGTTTTTTCCTTGTTTGTTTCTTGTGTTTTTAATCACTGGTCCTGGTCAGAGTTTCAGGGAAGCTCCCACATGAAGTTTAATTGTTTGACTCCTTTATACAAAATCCTTAAAACTTGCTTAGACATCTCACCTCATTGTCTTCTTGTTAATTCTTGGCTTCTACTTTCTAGGGCGTATTTGGTCTCTGTGGGCTCTGCATCTCTGTTCTACCCTCAAGGTACATGCTATTGGAGCCACACATGGACATGGAAAACGCCATTGACAGGACTGATTAAGTTGTGAAATGTCCCTTATTCTTCAACAGAGCTTCTCTTTATCTTTGTGATTTGGTAACATCTTACATTAATAAAACTTCTCTTTCTCACACCCTCAGACTCCTTTCCCAGTGTATGTATCAGTCAGTTTCCTGATTGATTTATTGTTATTAACTCAGTTGTGAGCTCACTGCCATATTGTATGCAGAAATTCACTTTTATATTAGTCATGGTTTGCTTTTTAAAAAAATGAATCCAAAGCATAAGAGACTCTTAAAAACTGAGAACAAACTGAGGGTAGATGGGGGGTGGGAGGGAGGGGAGGGCGGGTGATGGGTATTGAAGAGGGCACCTTTTGGGATGAGCACTGGGTGTTGTATGGAAATCAATTTGACAGTAAATTTCATATTTAAAAAAACTGAAAAAAAATGATATTGTTATACTTCAATTAAAAAAATGAATCATAGCCTTTATGGATTATGCTGGCCCAGGATTTGGAATGAAATTTGCATCTTAAAGTGTAGTCTGGGGACCAGTAGCATGGGAGTCACCTGAGAACTTATGGAAATGCAGAATCTCAACCCACCTCGAACCTAACAAATCACAATCTGCATTTTTACTAAAGTCCTTAAATGATTCAAGTGCACAAAGTTTCAGAAGCACTGGTCTAAGGGAGACCACAAATGAGAAGAGGATATGGAACTGTGTTCTGAGGAGCTCTTGCTTAACATAGGCAAAAAGAGCCCACCAGAGACACATGGAGAGGAGAGAAGGCCAGGGGAGCGGGTGGTATCACAGTGTGGCATCACCTGGTGCCTTCTCGGAGGAAAGAAGGTAACAGTTTTTGCTACCAGCAGTGAGGCTTTTCTCTCTCCCAGGATTACAACGTGGTGGACCCATTAAGTGGTGACTAAGCATATTAAAGATTTATAAAAATAGTTTGCTGAAGTCTGTATCACTTGGGCATTGAAGCTTAGTTTTGGCTTAAACCGGAATGGAACTCTTTTTCTCTTTGGTATGCCTAATTCCCGTTCTTAACATTGATGTTTGGTAAACTTTACTTCTTTTTATTCCGAAGCGTACCATTGTACCCTGCTATAATTCATGGATGTGCTTTTTAACGTTCTTAAAAATGTTTTTGTTCATTTTCCCCCCGGTTGTATATTTCTCATCAAAACACAATTTCAAAGCAGTTCTGTGGTGACATCGTCATTAGAACAGGCCTAGGAGCGAGATTCATTTTTGTCCGTGTTTTGTGCCTAATATGGTTGTTTGCATGTGGTAGTCGCATGGTAAATAAGTATGGAATGAATGAGTCACTGGTTTGAATGCATGCTGGGATTTGCTTCCTGAAAAATAGTTCTGTTATGGTCCTGAACTTCTTAGATTTTCAGTAAGTCCGAATAAATGTAGCAGCATTTAAGGGAAATTACAATGGTCTATTGGAACTGAATTGTTAATCTGCCAGGCAGTGGAGAAGCAATTCTAAATATTGACAGAATTCAGTCTTTAAAACATCTGTATCTGCTGGGGCTGGTTAAGTTGTTTGATTTTTACCAGTGTAAAATATTGAATTGTTCTTTTTTTTTTTTAACTTTTTATAAGCCTTTTAAAAAATATTTACTTAAATCCAGGTTAGTTGAATTGTTCTAACAAGGGAAACAGGGCACAGGCTTATATCATTAAATTTATTTCTCAAGTTCATAAGGTAATAAGCAACTTTTCGATCTCAGTCTGGATTTATAAAGTTACCTAGCTTAACAGTGAGACCCACCCTAATAACCCTGTCTATGGAATGGTAAGTGTCAAAAAAAGTCAGGGAAAGGAATTACTGCTTTTCTTAGTACCTCAGAACGTCTTTGTGGATTTCCAGGTAGTGTTAAATTGGCCATTTCTTGAAAGGTAGTGGGTAATGTCATAGCAGTTGTATTGGTTTTCTGTACCGATAATCCAGGACGTGTGGTATCTTTGTTTTAGTTTAGTAAACTAAATTAAAATTTAGTGGTAAATTGCCAGTAGATGAGCCTCTAAGCCTGGATTCACAGCAGTGCCCTGTGTTTGTCCATAGTACATTCTTGACTCATGAATGAAACTTGAATGGTTACAGATTTACCTGTTCTGTGGACAGACTCTCCATTCCCCGTGAGTGAAGGCGCAAATAAGATGAATGAATGAAATTCCTAATTCATCTGGTCTCTTAGAAATAGTCTTTGGTGACATTGCCAACACTTTAACCATACTTTATAATTTTGTTCTTTTCTTTTGTAACTATCTGATTGACTTGCTTAAGACCAAGAAACATTCCATTGAGGCTATGCACTTAGTAACAGTGTCTGTATTGTATTATACTCAAGAGTTTGAACTTCTGTTTTCACTCAGATTTATAAAATAAGAAAAGAATATATAGAAAATAATCAAAAAATTGCACATTTACATTGCTGTGAAGACAAGACAACATTGTCAAAACAAGCGCCAGCTGGCAGGCCACTTGGGAGCTCTTGAAATGTTTCTGTGCTAACATTTTAGGGATGTTGAGTGTTCAAAAGCCAAGTGTATACCAAAGTCAAGGCAGTATGTAATTTGGTGGGTTGAGGGAAAGGGGAAAGTTAACACTTTCTTGATTGCTAGTTCTCTTTTAGCGGAGCCTTGGTGGCATGGAATCTACTCTTTCAAAGCAGTTTTAGATCTACTGGCTCCTTTGTACTTCTGACTGACCAAAAGAATTTTACCTGCTAATTGTGTCTCAGCCTTTTCTAGTCTTCCCTATGGTTATTGTGAAATGTGAGATGAATAGAGAATATGTAATCTTAAAAATGGAAATGAGATAATCTCTTCCATTAATAGTTTTTTTGTTTTGTTTTATTTTACTCATTTGGGCTTAGAGCAAGGCCAGTAGGAATCAAGAAGAGTTACTTTCTTATTTTTAGAAAATCAGACTTACATTTGGAATGTTCACTGCTTTTTTTTTTTTTTTAAAGAAAATGATAGTGTGGAAGATTACTATACTCATTTGCTGTGGCTGCTATAACAAAATCACCACGGAGTGAGTGCTTAAGCAACAGGAGTTAATTTTCTCATGGTTCTAGAGGCTAGAAGTCCAAGATTAAGGTGTCAGCAGGTTTGGTTTCATCTGAGGCCTCTCTCCTTGGTGTGCAGATGGCCGCCCCTGCCTTCTCCCATGTCTTCACCTGGTATTCTCTCTGTGTGTACCTTTGTCCGAATTTCAGCTTCTTTAGAAGAACACCATTCATATTGGGTCAAATCCCACCCTGATTACCTCATTTTAACATAATTACCTCTTTAAAGACCCTATCTCCAAATACAGTCACCTTCTGAGTACTAGGGGTTAGAACTTCAACATACAGATTTGGGGGGACACAATACAATCCAGTCCATAGCAGTTCTGTGTCGGGGAGGTCATTTTCAAGGGAGAAAGATAAGGTAGGTTATTCAAGAATTCGAAGTGAATATGAAGAGAACCTAAACCTAAAGCATTGACAGTAGAAATGCAAATGAGTTGGAGACTGAGACATTACAGAGGAAGAATTTGTTATAAGACTTTGTGACTAAAGATGGAGGAGGCTAGCATGACTCTCAGATTTCTCTAACCCAGGAGGGAGAAACAGGCTTGAGGGAACAGATGTGAGTGGTGGGATGTCCCTTTTGAGTACTCAACACTTGACAGCCAGACAACCTGGGTGGTGTCAGCTGTCCTGCTTTCTTATTCCTCATCCTACAGTGGCTCCTCATAGCATGGACCACATTACAGTAAACTGAACATGCTATTTCTCACCTCTGAACCTCCATTCGAATGTGCCTTAAGACACTTGTAGCCCTCTTATTTTTTGTTAATTCCAAATTCCTGTTCTTGGTAACTTAAGTTCCTTTAGGGCAGGGACTATTGTTTTATTCATTTTTGCTGGCACATAGTACTTTACGCTCAGCAAATTCTAGTTGAGGGAATGACTGCCAGGATTATTATGATTAATGGTCTGTGCACATTTTAATCACCTATTTCATTTTCTTGATACTTAACACCTGTTTGGTTTTCTTGCAGAATGAGAAGACTTTGGGACATTCCATGAGTCATTCAAGTAACATTTCTAAGGTAGAGTGCCAGAAGTATGTTATTTTCATGATTTGGGGTTTTGGTTTGGTTTCTCCTAGCTTAAATGTGATTATACTCCTTTCTTTTCAAGATGCAGAGTTATTTACACAGTTCTTAGTCTGCTCTAGGACCATACAACAAGGTGTGTGGCAGTTATGTTTTTCTAGTGAGGCGATTCTGAATGTGTGTTACGGTTAGTGACTAATAGGAGAAAAAACTATTTCTCCCAAGAAAATCATTTACTCTCAGGTAAAAAAAAAAAAAAATCTCAGAGAGTCACCAGAAAATCTGTCCCCTCAATTAGGAGCACATTTGATCTTAACAAATAGCCAACTCTGGTGACTTAAATAATTATGGATTTATGTGGTTCTAATTGTGTCTGGAGATAGGTGGTCCAAGGCTGATGTAGTTGTTCAAAAATGTCAGTGATTCAGGAATTTTCTGTCCTCTCCGTGCCACCTTCTTGGCACATTGTCGTCATCCTTATGCTTTCTATTACCTCATGGCCTCAAGATCGGAGTTGGACCTCCAGGTACCACAGCTGTGGCCTTGGCAGGAATGAGAAAAATGATGAAGGATGGAGGGGTCTGTCAGCTGAGAGTGACCCTTTTCAGCAGGAAGTGCTTTCCCAGAAGCCCTAGCCAGCTGCCTGACGTGTGCTTACATTTCACTGCCCAGAACCGGATCCAGAGCCACCTCAAGTTGGAAAGTGGCTAGGAAAATGAGGGCTGACAGGGTGAATTGGCCACCCTACAGCACCTGGCACACCTGTGGTGTAGTCGCTCGACTAGCCTGTCAGGAGCATGTCAGCTGCTGTGGGGTGACCCAGGAGCCAGCGGACAGTGTCTCACACTCAGCAACCTTGTTTGCATGCCCTGCTCATCTTGGCCCATCCTGGGCTCTGGCCAACCTGTTGTCCATGCAGTATGTCCTTGTAGGCTCCTTGAAGAGATGGGCCTTCTGCCCATGTCTGTGTCAGCTGACCAGACACTGGCACAGATCGTCACAGGAAGATCTGAACAATGTGACAGATCCTCTTCTGCTGTCTCCAGCCTCCCAAGTAGTCAGAAATGAACACATTATATGCCATTTTAATTTACAAACTATATACCTATTCTCACTCGTATCACCCCCTTTTTAAAAGTAAAAGTAGAATCTAGCAAATCCTTTGAGACAATTAGTCTGTTCTTAGGCATATTTCTGACCTCACCATATATCATTCATCCACTTAATGATGCATAAAAAGTAGGGGCGACTGGGTGGCTTGGTTGGTTAAGCGTCCGACTTCGGCTCAGGTCATGATCTCACGGTCCGTGAGCTCGAGCCCCACATTGGGGTCTGTGCTGACAGCTCAGAGCCTGGAGCCTGTTTCAGATTCTGTGTCTCCCTCTCTCTCTGCCCCTCCCCTGTTCATGCTCTGTCTCTCTCTGTCTCAAAAATAAATAAAACGTTAAAAAAATTAAAAAAAAAAAAGTAAAGTCCATATGCTCTATGTGATATCGAAGGCCGTTTAGAGTACTCCTTGGTGCGTTCCTCACCTGACCTTCCCCGCAGAACAGTCATTCAAAAGCCACAGGCTTCATCCACCTCACATGAATACCTTTCAGTGAATCCTTCTTGTTCCAACCTCCATTTCTTTTCTTCTGCTGTTTGTTCAGCTAGGAATGTGGGAGTTAATAGAACTGTACAGTGGTAGATTATTACTGTCTGAGTGAGATGGCAAGTTTTGCCTTAACACTTTTTTTTTAACGTTTATTTATTTTTGAGAGAGTGCAAGCAGGGGAGGGGCAGAGAGAAAGGGAGACACCGAATCTGAAGCAGGCTCCAGGCTCCAAGCTGTCAGCACAGAGCCTGATGCGGCGCTTGAACTCATGAACTGCGGGATCATGACCTGAGCCGAAGTCGGATGCTTAACTGATGAAGCCACCCGGGTGCCCCATTGCCCTACCACTTTTGAAGGTGCTGCCCAATGTTTAAGCACTGAGAAAAGTAAGAGGATGCAAATCCAGATGGCCTGTCTGGTTAAGTTGAATGTAACATCATCATCATTATTATTATTATTATTATTATTATTATTATTATTTTATTTGAGGGAGAGTAGGGGAGGGGCAGAGAGAGAGAGAGAGAGAGAGAGAGAGAGAATAATCTTAAGCAGGCTTCACGCTCAGTGCATAGCCTGACATGGGACTTGATCCCACAACCCAGGGATCATGTCCAGAATTAAAAAAAACAGAGTTAAAGTGTGGAGCAGAGATTTGTTGTTTGTTTTTTTTTTTTTTTTTTTTTTCCAATATATGAAATTTATTGTCAAATTGGTTTCCTGGAGCAGAGTTTTCTGCCACAGAGGAGGGCCAAGAAGTTGTGGGCCTCTTCCATTTTCAAAGTAGAGGTTCCTGCACGCTGGAAATCCTGGTTCCTCCAGGAAAATCGCTGGAGAGGTGTGTGCACACATTGCTTCCCGGTGAGCCATCAGCCTGAAATTTTGTTGCAAAATGTACCCTCTGTAATAAGAAAGTTGTGTGATGTAGAGTTGTTAGGCATGAACCAGATACATGGTGCTGGGGGAGGGAGGGCAGGACTGCTCTGAAAGATAACTTTGTTTTTGAGACTGCATTTCTTTCTTGCAGTATTTATAAAATGAGCCTGTTGTTCGCGGCCCCTTTAGGCCATGGCGCATAAAACTCCATCTTCAGTGTAGCAGACATACTCAAGCAGATACTTAGTACCCTTGACATAGAAGATACAAACAAGGGTTAGAACACAGACATGTTTTATGCTGCCTGGAATCTCCCTTGTGTCTCTCAGGAGACATTTTCTGTTGACTCAGCCTCCAGCTGGGTTCAGCACTGGTTTGTGCTAAGGGTCGTCAGTCACCTGCAGAGCGCATTATGCTCATGCAGTTTACCGCTTACAGGTAACTGAAGTTACTTGAAGTTAGAAGTTGAGAGCAGGTAAAAATAAACCTTCTGCCTGTCTCTTTGTATCCCAGCTAGATAGATTTTGTTACAGAGTGATTTGTTACAGGGGGTGTTTCAGTGTTTGTTGGAGGCACCCCATGTTTTCTTGAAGCCTCAGAAACCTAACTCCCCTTACAGGAAACAGGAAGGATAGATGGGATGTGTGAGAGGCAGCTAGGTGGCTCATCTGTTTTTAAAATGGGCATCCAAGTGTGATCCTCTTAGAGAGTTAATTAAGGAAGAATATTGAGACATTTAAGCAGTTTCGATCACAGAGTCTTTACCCAGTACTTGGTTTTGTATCAATGGTAATGACGTTAAGTGGGTATCATTTATTGATTCTAAGTGCAAGTTTTCATGAAATTTGTTATCTCATCCTAGTGGCCCATCCTGACCCCCTAAGTGGTCCCCTAGTCACCTTTCCCTGTTTTCAACAGAGCACCTGTCACTCACTGCCTGAGTTTTTATTGGTGTTGTTTGTTTGTTTGTTTACTGTTGCCCCTTTGCCCCACAAGTAAGTTCCATGAGGTGAGGGTTATATCTTGTTTGCCCGTAAAACTTCAGAGCCCTGGAGTTGCTTAGTACATGTTTGTTGAGCAAATGTTTGCATAGCGTTGTGCTGGACATTATGTCTAGCCCATCGTTCTCTCCATCGTCACAGCCGTGTCCTGGGCCAAGCCTCCTGGATTACTGCAGTAGCTTTCTAAGAATCTGCCTGAATTCCTGCAGCCTCCCAAATCAGCCACCACCCAGCAACTAGGTAAATAGAACCCTGATGCTTCTCTTGTTAAGCCTTCAGTGGCTTCTTACTGCATTTAGAATAGGATTCAAACCCTCTACTTTGGGGCGCCTGGGTGGCGCAGTCGGTTAAGCCTCCGACTTCAGCCAGGTCACGATCTCGCGGTCCGTGAGTTCGAGCCCCGCGTCAGGCTCTGGCCTGATGGCTCAGAGCCTGGAGCCTGTTTCCGATTCTGTGTCTCCCTCTCTCTCTGCCCCTCGCCCGTTCATGCTCTGTCTCTCTCTGTCCCAAAAATAAATAAACGTTGAAAAAAAAAAATTCAAACCCTCTACTTTGATGTGCCACATCTAAGGTGATCTGGTCCTGGCCACTTGCAAACTCATTCATTTAAAGCACTTATCATAGTTTATAATGATATTGTAGCCATGTGTAGCAAATCATTATTTTTTTTTTTAAAGAAGTAGTAGAATTGCCCCCTAGTAAAAGACCTGTTCTGTTGACCGAGTGCCTAGAGAAGCTGAGGTAGGGTGAGACCCCGAAGGCATGCTTGTGGAAAGAGGGGCACTTGAATGCAGCTCTCCATGCAGCCTCACCCTGACCTTTGTCCTGCTGAGGGGTCCTAGGGTGTGGGCCAGCAGGGTTCCCCAGGCATGAGCCATCTACACCCCCCCCTCACCCTGTGCATTACCTGTGCTGTTTGCGTAATCATTTTCTTTAAACGGGCTTACTGTATTTAATTACGTTGTGTATCACTGTACGGTATCTGAAATCACGTTTTTGATTTGCTAGTTTTCTGATGTGAAATTAAAAGGTAGCTATGAAAAATATGTTCTTCAGTATGTCAACTAAACTCTTATTCTGTCACCCACCACTTCTCCTGATTCTGCCCTTTGTGAATTAGCGCTGTGACAGACAAGGGGATTTGGGAGGCCATGTGGTGAGGGAGAAGGGAGGGTGGAGGGGGGTGTCTGTGCTGCAGGAATGTGATGTGCAGCACCTGGCTGTCAGATGGCCCTCACTCCCAGGGTAATTTGGAGCTCGGGCTGGTGAAGGGAATGCGGCGAGGTACAGAATACAGCCTCGGAGTGAGTGGTGATTGCTTGTGGCACATCAGGGTGAAGTGATACGCTTCCCTGTTCAGGGGAATTGTACCACAATTGCCCCCTGCCTAAAGGCTGTCTCCTCACCCGGCATAGGGTATCCTTGGCATGAAGTGTCCTCATCTGTAACATAGACAAGGGGGCCCAGTGCAGCATATGTGAGGATTACATGAGTTCACACTTGTCCCACACTTAACTCTATGC